TTCGAGGCCTCCGTAGAGGTCCCAGCTGGTGCTGCAGCCCTAGGAGGCCACACGCCGACCTCTGGGGCAGAATCTGGGCCCAGATCCAGGACAGCTTCAGTCAGGAAGGTGATTTCCAGGCCGTCAAGGTAAAAGCCCATGCTAGCGGGCCAAAGGATGACTCGCACGAGAGCTTTCTCGATTTTCAAGGGAATCAGTTGGCAGACTGTGAGGCCCGCCTTGGGGCCGACATGCAGGAGGTTCCCCCGTGGAAGGCCCAGACCTGGACCACCCGCTCTGCGGAGGTCCAGGCGGTGTTGACTCTGGTGGCGGGGGTGACGGGGCTTACGGCGGACTTCGGGGATTCCACGGGGAGGCCTGCCGCGGGCTCCAGCGGAGCCCGCCGACGGCGGCAAGGGCCGCCCGAGGGGGCCCGCGCCCACGTCCTCCTCTGGAGGAGGGGGGCGTGGCGTTGCTCGACGTGCGGGCGAAAGGCCTTCTCCAGCAAGACCAGGCGCGCGTTGGCGCGCAGGCCCTGCCAGGGCAAGATGAGGGTGGATCGTCGGTGGGGTGTTGGGTTGGGGCGGGGGGATGGGGAAGGCGTCATTTCTCCCGCCCTCCGCGGCGCGGCCTTGGGGCACGAATTGCACCGCGTGGGCCAGTGTACATTCTGCGATCGGTGCGGTGTGTTCTCGAGCGAGAGGGGGTGCAAGCTCTTGGCTGCCTGCGTGGGGGCCCTTGCGAACCCCACCGCAGGGTACCGCCTCTCGCTCCTGCGCCGAGGCAAAAATCCTTACGCAGTGAAGGTCTCCCTGGAGGCAGAGCCGCGCTCCCTGGTACAGGAGGAGTGCGCAGCCTTCTGGGAGCGCCTCATGGACTGATCTGGAAGGGGCGGGACGGCACCCCGAGGTGGAGTGCCCGCCCATCCGTCTCACATGTGGCGAGCTGGGGCGGGGACCGCCAGGCATCGTTCTTGCAGCAAAAAAAAAAAACCTCCTCCTCCTCCTCCTCCCTGTCCTCCTCTCTGCCCTTGCAGGCTCGGCCCGCGAACATTTTCGCGGGGAGGTCACGTTTGGGGGGGTCTGCGGCGGGAGGGCCCTCTCCGTTGGCGGCCCTCCTCGTCCGCAGCCCCCCCGGGCCATGGTATCCAGGTCTTGTCCATGAGGAATTGGCGCTCGGGGGCCTGGGGGAGTTTTTCCACCCGAGCCAGCGCAGCACTCTGTGTGGCGACGTCTACCAGATTCGCCTCTCGGCCTTGTGCTCTGGTTTCTCCCGCGCGCTTGTCCATGACTGTCACCGCGGCGTCACCGAGCGCAGCTGCCGACAAGCAAAAAGTGTGGTGACGATTCGAGCAGCGCACTGTAGGGCGTGACATGCGACACGTCTCAGCTCCACTTTCTGATGGGCTCTGCTTGGGCATGCCGTCTTGGGCTTGTCAAGGCCCGTGCGAGGACGGTTTGGGGCCATCTTGGGACTCGCGTGGGCAGTCTTGGGGCCCTCTTGGGTTGCTTTGGTGTCGTCATGGGCCGTTTTGGGCCCGTTTTGGCAGTGTAGGGAGTGTCTTGGGGATCTTCTAGGGGCCTCTTTGGGCCATCTTTGGCTATCCCGGGTTGCCCTTGGGCCGTCATAGGGCAATATTGGAGCAGTCTTGGGCCGTTTGGGGGGCCGATTGGGACATGTTCCTTGCCGTTTAGGATTATTGTTGGTTCCTTCTTGGCCTCCCTGGAACCGTTTTGAGCCGAGACCTGGGAACCCCAACGAATGCAAACACCGTACAAGTTCCACAGGTTGTTGAATCAGATAGGCCGTCCAGAAGGGTTTCTTGGTCTTCTTGAGGGCCTCTCGCCCCTCTTGGGGTCTTCGTGGAGGTTCTTCGGTGCCTCTTCAGAAAGTGGGGCGCCGTCTTGGCGTTCTTGGTGGCCTCCTGGCCGACGGAGAAGCCGACAGGGAATCTTCGGGCCGCCAACGGAAGCCTCGGGAGAGGGTGGCGGGAGGGGGTTGGTATGTGTATACACCTCAGGCGATGCTTAAGAAAACTTGAATTGTCGGCCAGGGTCTCGATTATTCTTAATGTTTCAACGTAAATCTTAAGATTTTAATAGAAATTTTGGGTTTTTAGTCAAGTTCTGAGACTATGAATTTCTTAACCCATGATTTCTTAAGCATTTCGCAGGGTGTACGTATATATATATATACATACATACATGCATGCATGCAGTCATAAAGACGTGCACACATACATAAATATGTGCACGTACTGCGTCGCAGCCGCACGTGATGCACTCTCGGGGGCCGTCCCTTTCACACCGTCTCCGCTGGGGCTGTTACTCATCGAGACGTACGACCGCGAGGCGTACACCTTAGGCGATGCTTAAGAAAACTTAAGTTTTCGGCCAGAGTCTCGATTGTTCTTAACTTTCCAATGTCAATCCCAAGATTTTGATAGAAGTTCTGGGTTTTATTCAATTTCTGAGACTGTGAATTTCTTAACCCATGATTTCTTAAGCATTTCGCGGGGTGTACACGCATTGGTCCCCCCGCCCTGGAAGATTCACAGACACCCTGCCAGACAGCCCTGGACATTCTACCAAGCCTCCGCGTGCCAGAGGACACGGCGGCGGATTGATGGTGAGGTGGGGCCCCAGACCCCCTGCATTTCGATGGTGGACGAGCGGCGGCCCGAGATCGCGGACGGCAGGCCGATCCCGGGGCGAACGGCGCGGGGCCTGCCCCCCCCCAAGTGTCTGACCTGCACTCCCGCATCCAAGACCCGACGCTTGTGTTATTGTTCACAGGCTCGTCGATGCTGCAGTTCAGCGGCCGTCATGCTGTCCTCTGTCTCGCGCTGTGGCGCAGCTCCGCTGTGGTCTCATGCAGCGGTTGAGTGAGAGGTGGTCGCTTGCTTTTTGGGGGGACATGAGAAGCACAACAACAACAACAACAACAACAACAACAATACTACTAATAATAATACTAATAATAATAATAATAATAATTATTATTATAAGTTTCATACTGTTCGCCCATATATGCTCGAGTGTCCAATAACGCGTATTTCCCAAACCCTCGATACCCGCCCTCTTTGTCTTCGATCGAACCTCTTTTGGGGGGTATACCTTTCTTCCCTGCAGGCCGGGCCCCGGCAAGCGGCGGGGCGGCCGCGGACCGTCGGCCTGGCCAGCGGCAGCGCTGATCGGCGGGGCGGCCGCGGACCGTCGACCCGACCCCACGAGGGACGGACAGGGGACCGACCACGACGACGACGACGACGACGACGACGACGTCGAAGACGACGGCGACGACGACGACGGCGACGACGAGCGAAAGCGAGAGCGAGAGAGAACGACAGCAGGGCCACGAAGGGCACGAAGTAGGCCACGAAGGGCGACAGCGGGGACACGAAGGGAATGCGTATGGGGCCACGAAGAGCGCGAACGAGCGGGGGCCACGAAGTGCAGATAATGCGGGGCCACAGAAGGCAACTATGGGGCCACTGAGGGTAGCAACTGGGCCACGTAGGACAGTGAGGGGGACAAATGGCGACAGCGGGGCCACGAAGGGCATGCACATGGGGCCACAACGGGCGCGACTCCTGGGTGCCTGGGTGTCGGGAGCGCGGGGCTTGGGCAAATTGCAGGACACTCCAACGCAAGGCCATTCTTCAGTAAGTTGCAAGCAAGTCTCCAGCGAGAGCGCGACTCCAGAGCGCCGGGAGAGCGATTCCTTAATAAATTGTAAGGAAGTCCAAAGCGAGAGCGCGATTCCGGAATAAAATGCGAGGAAGTCTAGGGCGGGAGCGGGGGTCCTGGCTAAATTGTAAGGAAGTCTCAGGCGGGAGCCGTTGTTGTTGTAACCTGGGGGCCAGGGGCCCAGTTTGAGCAGGAAGACTTTCCTTGTCAAAAAACAGGCTACAAGCGTCGAGGGGCACACTTTGATTGAGAAAACACAGTATGCACCAGTGGGGGGGTCAACAATAATTTTTCTTCTGAAATGAGAATTCAACAACGACGACGACGACAACAACAACAGCAACAGCAATAACAACAGCAGCAACAAAACGCCCAAGACCCGACACTCGTCCTCCTTCCTCTCCCTCCGCTCGGGCGTCTTCCCAGCATGCTGACAAAAGGGGTCTTGGAGGAAAGGGGCCCTGGAGGTGTGCCGTGGTTCTCGGTGTCCCAGGGCCTTCCTCGGGCCCAGGACCAGTCAAGACACATCATGCTGAGCCAGCTCTGGGGAGAGCTCCAGAGCCAGATTGGTCGTGCCAATTGATGATTGCCCCCACGGATGTCTGATGGGCTCTCTCTCTCTCTCTCTCTCTCTCTCTCCTTCCCTCCCTCTCCTTCGCAGAGGAGCACAGCAAACGTGTGCCGCTGCCCGTTCCTCGCTCACTCCCTCCTGCGTCCCTCCTGGGGGGGCCCTCGTCGGCACGACCGGGATCGCCTCGGAGCCTTGGTCGGAGCGCATCCCAGGAGAGCTCCAGGGAGCATTAGCGTCGGTATCTCTTAGTTTCCCACTTGCACATCATCCCCGACATGCTCGCCGAGTCTACAGTCGCCAGCCTCTTCTCGGCCTTCTTCGTGGCATTACTCGTCGCGTCCTCGTCATCTCATCACCGCGTGTCTGCCTGTACAGTCGACCCGCTGAGTAAGGATGGGCATCCCTCCCAAGGGTACCCTTGCATCCTTGCCTCCTGGGTCCATCCTTGGACACTTTCGTTGGCCGCGCCCCGCTCGAAACGCTTCGAGATGGGCGTTCGAGGCCCTTGCATCCTTGTCGCGCATCCTTACTCTACGGGTTGGCTGTGCGGTTTGCCCTTTCATAGGGCGACGAGATCTATGCATATCCACTGCTCCTGGCCAGGCCAATCCTGGGCCCAGGAGCGGTGTATACGCCCTCCTGGCCTGGCCAGGGAGGCATATACACAGCTCCTGGGCCCAGGATGGGCCTGGCCAGGAGCAGTGGATATGTATAGATCTCGTCGCCCTATTTCATGTCCCGCCTCTGAGCGCGTTGCCGAGGCGTTGGTGGAGCTCGTGCGCTTGGGCGCGGGGCAGGCCTTGAGGCGATGGTTCTCGAGAGGGGGAGGGAGTCTTCGTCGCTCGCCCCTCGCGGGGGTCCTGTTCACCAGAGCACGAAGCTTGAGTTTCGGTCAGAGGGGGAGGAGAAGGAGGAGGAGGAGGGGGAGGAGAAGGAGGAAGAGGAGGCGGAGGAGGAGGAGGGGGAGGAGGGGGAGGGGGAGGAGGGGGGAGGAGGGCGGAAGAGAAGGAGGAGAGGGGGAGGGGGAGGGGAGGAGGTGGAGGAGGAGGAGGAGGAGGGAGGAGGAGGAAGAGGAGGAGGAGGAGGAGGAGGAGGAGGAGGAGGAGGAGGAGGAGGGAGACGGCGACGACGACGACGACGACGACGACGACGTCGACGTGCAGAGGCAGTGTTCTCATTCTTCGCCCCCTTGCCTCCTTCATACATTGTTGCACAAACGTTCCCAGACTCGGGGCACGTGGTACGTCTGCGATTTGGTCAGGATTTCGCAGCGGAGTCTTGGAAAGTACACGTGCTCCTCTCAAGTGCATGTTATCGCGCTGACGAAGCTACAGGCACGCAATACTAGAACCTTGATCAGGCGTCATTGTTTCGCGCACCACCGTGCCCATCGTCCCTCGGCACCAAATGGCCGCGTAGGCCACCCGCGCCAGGCCTCACTGTGCCCTGCTTCTCGAGTTTGTCGGACAGTCCAGGCGAGTGCATGCCCCCCCACTTCGGCGCCGTGCCCTGGTCTGCGTCAAGCTGCCCATCGGGCGCATTCCTGCTTCACTGGGATGCGAGGCTTGGCGCACGTCCGCAGCTCTGAAGCTTTTGACGAATTGGGTTGACAAGTTCCTGCAGCGAGCGGGCAGCCACTGGCCTGACGCCTCGGCTCCCAGGACCAGGCGCTGCCGCCCTCCATCCCCCCCGCACCTTCTCCCCACTTCGCCCCCGCTGCCTCCTTTTGGCCCCCGCCCAGCCCCGTTTCTCGGGGGCGCCGAGTGGGGGACCGGCTCTGGAGGCGGACACCAGCCCCTGCATGCATTCGCCCGTTCATTGTCGTCGCCGGTTGGGGCCTGTGTGCCCCACCGTGCCCTGGAACAGGTCCTCCTCCTCCTCCTCCTCCTCCTCCTCCTCCTCCTCCTCCTCCTTCTCCTCCTCCTCCTCCTCCTCCTCCTTTTCTGGTCCTCCTCCTCCTCCTCCTCCTTCTCCTCCTCCTCCTCCTCCTCCTCCTCCTCCTCCTCCTCCTCCGGCTCCCCTCCCTGCGTCGCGGTAGGGGGGGTTCTGGTTTTCGACGGCGGGGCCAGAATCCCTCGGGCCGGGACGAGGAGCCACGGGTGCTTGAAGGCCATGCCCGTTCTGCCTCCTTGTCCCGGGCGGCTGAAGGCGATGCCCGATGTAGAGGGGACCCATGCCAAGAAGCACCTTGCTTGCCTCCAGGGTGCCCTGGGTTTCTTGGGTCTCGGTGGTCTTGCAATGGAAGGCGTGGCGTTCCCACATCGAGAATCCATGGACGTCCTGGGGTCTCGGGGTTGGGCTTCTTGCGCAAGGCGTCTCGTGAACTGGCCTCCACTGTAGCCGAACAGTGGCATTTTTCAGGCCCTCCAGGGTCCCCCTTCCCTTTCCAGGAGAAGGAGGAGGGAGGAGGAGGAGGAGGAGGAGGAGGAGGAGGAGGAGGAGCAGGGGTGGGGGAGGAAGGAGGAGAGGAGAAGGGGGAGGGACGGTCCACCTGGTCTCCTCGGCCACTCCCCTGCGGCCGCAGCTCGCACGTGGCCAAGCTGAGCGGCCTGGTGCAGAGCGCGCTGTCGGCGCACTGGGACACGGAGGTGCTGCTCCATATTGCAGCGACTGCGAGACGATGAGGAGGAGGAGGAGGAGGAGGAGGAGGAGGAGGAGGAGGGGGAGGGGGAGGGGGAGGAGGAAAAGGTGGACAACGATGGTGGTGATTTCGACGATGAGGACGAGCAGGCGGATGCCAACGAAGGCGGGGACCAGGAACGCATAGAGGAAGGTGCCGACCTTGGTGATACCGACGGCGGAATACATGATTTGATGCGGAGGTATCCATCTGTGCACTTCTTCTAGAGCATTCCTTTTTCGATGTCTCAGTACGTGCGAGTCGGATTATGAATGCCATTGGGATTGAATGACAAGGTACCTAAAAGTCTGAGCATTAACAGTTATGAGCGTGAGTGGCTAGACATGCGTGGATCAAGGTAGAAATCCGCCCGGGCATCAGTGGGTCTGAGTACAAGTGAGTCTGAAAGCGAGTAGGTATCTAGATTCGGATGGGTCTGAGTGAATGTGGAGGGGTGTGGAAACGAGTAGGTCTGGGTATGTGTGAGTATGAGTGCGAGCGACTCTGCATGAGCGGCTGAGTACGAATGAGGGTGAATCAGAATGGGTCTAGGTGTGAGCGGGTTTGAGCGTGCTTGCGTCTGATTGTGAGTTCCTCTGGGTACGGATAGATCTGAGTATTAATGGGTCTGAGTCGGAAGGAGTCGGAGAGCGACTGAGTCTGCGTATGAGCGAGTCTGGCCCAGAGGGACAGGTTACGAGTGGTTCCGAGTATGAGTGGATCTGAGCATGGGTGGGTCGGAGCATGGGTGAAAGCATCCTGAGGCCTCTCTGAGCCTCCTTGGGCCTCCTGGGCCTTCCTGTAGCGTCCTGGAACCTCTGAGGGCCTCCTGCGGCCTCCGAGGAGCATCCTGGAGCATTCGGCCTCGGGGGGGGGGGTCTCAGTGTCTCGTGGACCTTCGAGAGCGTCCCGGAGCCTCTCGGCTCCTGGGGTTTCCCGAGGCCTCCTTATAGCTCTCTGGAGCCTCCATGGAGGAGGAGAGGGATGCCTCTGTTTACACCGCCAGAGCGGAACTGACGCTGAAATCAGGAACAGTCTGGATTCAGAAGGGTGGTCGTTGTGACTTAAAAGCAGTTGCGTGGCCATTGCTTCAACGTTTCTCGTATACCAGGGCGCTCTCGGGGCCAAACAGGGGTCTCATCGTTTCACTCGCGTGCCTTGTGGCAGCAGCTTGGACGTGTGCGCAAACGCTTCCGTACGACTCGGTATCGGTATGAGTGGGCCCGAGCGAAGGCCCTTACGTCGGGTATGGTGGACAGGAGCCTATGCCTAAGATGTGGGCTGCAATAGCCCCACATATTTATATATATATATATATGTACATACATACATATATATACACGATGTGGCATGGGTATGAGCAGGGTATGGGTGTGGGTCCGCACGAGCGAATCTGAACGTGAGTGCTTGTTGGGTTTGAGCGACTAGGGGTGCGAGAAGTATGGGTATATGAGCAGTTGTGTGAGAGTGAGTCTGTGTCTGGGTGGCTCCGGGTCCGAGCGTGTTTGAGTGTAAGTGGTCTGGGCAAGAGTGAGTCTGGGTACGCATGAGTGTGAGGCAGAATCCGAGAACCAGCGAACATGTGTACGAGTGAAAATGAGTGGAAGTGAGTCTGAGTGTGCGTGAGTCTGAGTGTTAGTGAGTCCGAGTATGGGAGGGATGAGGGAAGTGAGGAGAGTGAAAGAGGAGGCAGAAATATCGAACCAGTAACAAGAACCCCATACGTAGGAGACGACGCAAAACATGTACACATGCATGGACGGGCGTTCTTGTTGAAAGATCCCGAAAATCTGGGCGCGAACGGGCCCGTGCAGCACTCCTTGGGCGACACACCCTTGGCGGGGCCGTGAGTGAATATGAGTGAGTGGCAAGGCGTGCGAGTCTGATCGTGACAGGTGGGTCTGATTGTAGATGGAAATCAGAGTAAGCGAAAGTAAGTGTGAGTGGTGAGTCGGACTATAGGTGAATATGTGTATGAGTAGATCTGAAAATGAGTGGGTCTGAGCATGAGTGAGTCTGTGTATGGGCGGAATCGCTACGAGCGAGTCTTGGTATGATCGGGTTTGAGTGTGAGCGAGTCAAAGGGAGAGAGGCGGCGAATAAGAACACAGAGGCGTCACCAATAATAAGAGTAACCTCGCACTTAGGATGTGGTGAATGAGAAATAAAGTGCAGCAGCGTGGAAGGGCATGAAGAAGAAGGATGGGGGGCAGAAGGATAAGAGGGGCCCTGGGGCTTGGGGAACGGGCGCCATTGGAACGTATGTGCGTCCTGGAACTATCCAGTGATTTACCCCATGCATGCTCGACCGTGTTGCAGTATGAAGCCGCGCGCTATTACCATGCCAGCCCGTCAGGTCCAGAGCCCTCACCCGCTGGCCCTTCAGGCTTAGCCATGTTTGGCCTTCGCGGGTAATTACTTGACCATCTTAGGCCCTCTTGGGGCCATTCTGGAGCCTCTGGGGGCCATCCTGGGGATCATTGGGCCCAGTTGGGACCGTTTGAAACGCGGGGCCTTTTCGGGCAATCTGGCACGACGTAGCGGGCTTTTCTAGGCAATGTTGACTCTGTTCGAAGCTCTGGGGACCAAGTGGCAGCATTGTTGGGATCTCGGGGTACAACAGCATGGGGTATGTTCTGACACTTGATGAACAAGAACTCCAGCCAATGCTTGTCTTTCCTTGCCCTTCGGGAGTGTGCCAGGGCAGAACTGGAGACACGAGAGGCCGGAGACGAGAGAGAGAGAGAGAGAAGACAGGAGATGCCAGCGAGGCAGCAGTCCAGCAAGGAGCTTCGCAGCCTGGCGCCCTCAAGGGGGCGGTGGACTTGCCCCGATGGCCCCGGATCCGACCCACTGAGCACCAACCACTCGAGCGACGGCATACACATGTCGCTCATTTGGCAGCCCCCCTATGCTGGCCCCGCCTCGGAATCCTCCTGATTCGTCCCCGCCCCCCTAGAGACGCACCCGAGCTCCAAAGAGAAGCCGCACCACCGCTCTCACGGGGGATTCCCTCTCAGGCTCGTCCGCTTCATCATCCATGTTCCTTCCCATGCTCCTCCTGCTCGGCCCTCATCCACCCTTCCTTGCAACGTGATGAACCTCGTCATGTCCTCATCATGTGCGAGGTGAGATGTTTTGATGTATGCTCGGTTCAGGCCCGACGCAACGAAAGCACGACATCAGCGTCTGCATGAGCCAGCCATTCTAGGCTCGCGCGGTTGCGAACAGGAGTGGCACTTGGCCGCAGCGTCGTGGGACCTGAATGCAGGTACTCTTCGTACACGCCAGGCGGGACGAGCTTGACTTGGCTTCCGGTAGGTGGAGTTTCATTTGCACTTTGTCCCGAACGGAGGCTCCCAGCTCATAATCTGAACACCTCGAGCTCGACTCGTTTTCGCTGGGTCCCTGACGTCTTTGTGTTTCGGCATTAGTGATCTGAGCAGCTGGGCCTGCCGGGCCGCAGGTCCAGAGACCATTGGCCTTTATGTTTCGGCATAGTGATCTGAGCAGCTGGGCCCGCGGGGCCGCAGGTCCAGAGACCACTGCAGCTCGTCGCTGGCTTCTGCAGCGCTGCGGCCACCGAGACCGCCATGGCCGCTGGCGCCGCGGAGGCGCCGCGGGTGTCGTGGCAGCTCGGTTGCGGGCAGGACGAGGCACATGGCATGCTCTTTGGCTGGCGGCAGGCAGGGAGATAGACGGTCCAGACAGGCAGACTAGAGAGGGTGCGGCACATGTGTATATATATATATATATGTACAAGTATGCACATACATACACACATATGTCGAGAAAGGGAGAGAGAGAGAGAGAGGGACGCGCAGACATACGCATCATCACAGACAATCCGACACATGTGTGTGTGTGTCCGCACTGATTCAAGACGATGGTGGGCGAGACCCATCACTTCAATCAGCGCACGGAGCACTGTGTATTTTCTTCGGGCTGTGCTAGTGACGGATTCGTATGTCAGTAATCGTTGCGCGTGGGTGTGCAATGGCACCGTGGGAAGCCATCCACACATCTGAGCCACAAGAATTCACCGCCATCCCCTTGGCAGAGACAGCAAGTAATACGAAGTTGTATCAGCTGCATGGACCCGAATATTGCTGCGTATTCCCACGTGCCCACGTGTCTGAGGATGTAGCACTTGAACAGCCCTGTCGCCAAGTTTTTTTATGAGGACACACTGCGGTTGCAGCAGAACCTCCTGGCTTTTGGAATTAATCGCCAGGTGGGGGTGCTGGGAGGATTTGCAGTGCAGGTGTTGTTCTCTGTGTTTCCCGTCGCCCGCGGACGGACCAAAGTGTCCTGGCTTGTTTGCGGTGCGGTGTTTGCTGCATGGAGCGGTCCAGGGGTCTGCAAGAGCCATGCAAGTCTGGCCGCTGAAACAAAAACCAGCCCAGCCTTCTGAAACATACTTTGGATGTCCTGGCCTACGGGGAGTTTATCACTGATGTTCGACCCCTCCGCCCCGAGACGGTTGAATGTCGGGGCCGCCTTTGAGAAACTGCGGGACTCGGATCGCTTGACTGTCGGTGTAGCTTGACGGCGGTTGCCCCGTGGTCTCTCGTCGCCACGGTTTGGGCCTCAGGCCTCCCGACCTGCCGCGCGGGGAATGGCTATTGCTGACAGAGGGAGGAGGACGAGGGGGACGCAGGGAGGAGGAGGAGGAGGAGGAGGAGGAGGAGGAGGAGGAGGAGGAGGAGGAGG